GGCCAAAAGCACAAGACCACGGAAGGGACAGGCCAATGCCTCATGCAACACCCCACTGATTGGCCTAGCTAGCTGCTGCTTGTTCTCAGGTGTGCCTTAGTGTGGGACCCTTCCTGGGAAGAAATCCTCTCCTGGTTGCGAATTTGTGGCCACCTGCATATGAACTGTTGCCCATGGCTGAGAATTTCTTTTTGACCAGGACCAAAATGTACACTTTTTAAAAGACAAGTACCAATTAGGACTGTGGTGTTTAATGTCTTAACCATATTCAGTGATGCAAAAAACCCCATATCAATTGTCTAAACAGGTGGTCCTACATAATCAGGCAGCACATTTTCATTATTAAACTATTTAACCACTTATAAAAACTACAGGCTGAAAGAAAAGGAAACCCCTTCTATGTGGAAGAGGAGGAGAAGATTCCTTTTCAGATGAGGCAATACACGCACGCTTCAGGAACTGGGAACTAGTTGACAACAGCAAAGTGATTATATCTAAATATATCCTTTCTCTCTTTAAAGCTACTGGGTATTTTTCCTCAAATGGAACTAATAGATCAATTTATTTGTCAAGAAAAACACTGCAATGGATTGGCTTTGATTCTCTTAAACAGGTGACAGGAATGGATTTTTGACAGATGTCAGTATTATATTTTAAGGTAAAAATGCAGGTGTGAACTTCCAAAGACAGCTGGACCATTCAGTAGCCCTGAAGCCTGACTTTCACATTCCACCTGTATCCTTGAGGTTAAGCATGCAGGCTTTTGGGAGTACATGCAGGCAGTGGTCAGGAATGCAAGAGCCACAGAAAAGGACAACTAAAGGGGCCTTCAGTAAAGAGCCCCCCAAGGGCTTGCAGCACCCACCCCATTGCAACTGAATGCAGTAGGAGTGCCAGCAGGTGGCTAAGATCAATATATTGAATAGGGATTACAGGGATGAGAAGAGCCAGCCTGTTGCAGGGCATCTAATGACCTCAGTTAGCATTGAGGGATCCAAGAAGCATGGCCAGCCATAGCTTAGCTGCTCAGAGCAATTATCTGGCTATATATCTGCAGCACGTGTGTGGGGATACAGCCAAATCTTGGAGTTTGTGTGTGGCCACAAGGTAAGCAGGCCCCTGTTCCAGTGGGCGGGTGTGTGGGCAGGCACGTGCTCACTTTCTCTTAGCTGTTTATGAGGAGATGCACCTCTAGACCAGGACTGGACAACCTCTGAGGGTTGGGGGGCCATAGTCCCCCCTCAGGGATCTGGGGGGGCACACCCCATCCCCAGTGCTGCTGGGTTTCCTTCTGTTGAATCATCACTTGCAAGCACAGTATCATACATATGCATTGCATGGAGAAATCCAAGGCTGCATGGATGTTCCTACGAGACAGTTTAAAAGCTCCTCATCACCATCCTTCCCATCATTTGTATAACTCAGATGAAAACTTTAAATCAGTTAGAATGTACATTTTAAATTACTCGCTTCCACTTTCTGTCAGGCATGGACAAGATTCCTAAGCCTAGTTTAAACAATATTTTCAGCAGTAGCACAGATGGTAATTTTAGACCATGGACTTAATGCTCTTACCAAAGCAGGGCAGGGGGTGGGGGGTGATGCACACAACATTTCTCTTCCTCCTGCCTGCTCCAACTGCCTCTTTGTGCTTCTGCATCCCTGATTACAATAGACTGTTTGTCGAGCCTGGTAAGGCAAACCCTCTGAGCATGTGCTCCATTTTAAGCTTGCTTAAATCACAGCACCATCACTACTGGTTCTGAGAGCCAATCCGGCTAATCAAATGGGTTATAAGAACGCTAAACAAATCGATAAATAACAGGAACAAAGTGGGTTTTCTTTCTGCACTTGCTGCTCTCTAGGCGGTGGGGCTGGGGGTAGACTCTGGTCCCTTGCTGCTCCACTGATACTCAGCCTCGCTTATGAACACATGCTGAGATTATACACTTTACTTGCCAGTGCTTTAATAAACCTGCGCAGACGGGGAAAGGCTTGTTCCATTTGCTCCTGAAGACTTCTAGCTCGTGCAAGCAAACCCAGAGGGTCCCGATCGGGCAGGAAAAGAGAGCGCCTGCACGGAAGCGCGAGGGGGAGCGTGCAAAGAGAGCGGGAGCGCGGTCGCCGGCGATCCCGGTCGCTGTCCATGGTGACGGAAGGCTCGGCTGCCCGCCCCGCTCCCCCGAGGAGCGCTCCAGGGCGAAGCGGCCTCTGCGCTCACGTGGCTCCCCCCGAAGCTGCGCTGGAGCCGCGCTCGGCTTCTCTTGTCTCTACACGGAGACGTGCAGGGGTGGCACAGGCGTCTTGCTGGCACTCTCCGTGTAGCCTGGCGGTAGCTGCTTAAGGCAGAAGGGCTGTAGGAGTGCGCTGGAAGGAAGGAAGGAAGGAAGGAAGGAAGGAAGGAAGGAAGGAAGGACACACGCGCGCGCGCGCACCACAGAGGAGGAGAAAGAAAAGCAGCAGTGTGTGCTCTGTGTTTCCAGTGTTTGTGCTTATGCTCACTAGTAGTTTATAGAGGGGATTTTGTCGGTACAAAGGCACTGTGGATCTTCCACTGCACAGGCAGAGAAAACTACAGAGGTTTAGATTTTTACTAAGACGTGTGACAATATAGAAAGGTTCGTCTACCATTTAATATGCAGGTCCTTAGTCACATACAAATACGTGCTACTCACTGATTCATGTTTATTCTTCCCTCCTGCAGCCCAACAGGATAGGAAATGGGTGAGCTTGTGCATCTTCCCATTTCATCAGTCTCCTGACATCACCCTTCCTTCCTTTCATTTGACTCTTATTCATTTGACCCTTACTTTTCTTGGCATGGTTCGCAATTATGTATTAACACCCCACAGTCTCCATTTGGATTGATGACTGAGCCAACATATGCCAGATCTTTCACAATTTCAGTTTCATTACTGTTTACAATGGAGCTCTGTTATTCATCTGTAGTCATGATTTTTGTTTTCTTAATATTCAGCTGCAGTCCTGCTTTTTCACTTTCTTCTTTCACTTTCATTGGGAATCATGTCAATTCATTATCACTTTCTGCCAGCAAGAATCTGCTATCTTAAATTATTGATGTGTCTGCCACCAATTTTCACCCCTTCCTCTGATCCTAATCCAGCTTTCCTTATAATATGTTCTGTAAACTGAAGGGCCTTTTAGTTGTGGCATCCCAATTCTGGATGCTCTCTCCTGGTACTGAACTTTATGTCTTTTTGATACCAGGTGAGCCTGAATCCTTTTATGATTTTTTAAAGTTAGTGTCATTGTTTTCTATTCTGTGTAATCCTGGCATTTTTGGCTGTTCTTTGGCTAGCCAGCTCTACATAGCAACACATTAGGTGGGTTCCTGGGCAGTGCCCCAGGCGGAGGAGTTCATGCATGAAGGAGTTCTCATAGCCCAAAGGCTGAATTTCATTTGGAGAAGCTTTCCAGGGTCAAATTCCAGAAGGCAAAATGAGTGGTGCAAGCCAGACTATTTTAGTTTAAGGCCCTTATTGCAAGTAAATAAGGCTTCAGAGAGGCATTTCAGCCTTTTAGAATGGGAATGGCATTTTGAGATAGTTGGCACATCAAGAGGCTCCCCATGTTGCCCTGAGTTTCCCATTTTAGTATCATGCTTGCAAAAAAGGCACCCCCACCCCCATTTTATTGCTTCTCTTTTGACTTCTCATAATAGTTTGTTTTTCCTTGCTCTGCCAGCCATGGACAGCTCCTTCAAGCTGTCACTCGGGCAGTTTGAAGGGGCTGCGAATGGCTGCCAAAGAGATTGTGAAAGGTGGGTGGTAAATGTGAGAAAGCCACAGGGAGCTGGGGAGAGCTCTTGATTATGGTTGGAGGGGAAGGCTGACTTGGTCCTGCAGCAGAGTCCTCCAGGAGGACTGAGGGGGAAGGGGGAGTGAACAACCCACAGTGCAACCAATCGTCTGTTGAGCTCACTGTTCAGCAGGTTGTTTACAGAAGCCAACCATGGCTTATTGCCAGGCACAGGGTTGTCCTCTCAATATTATTCTCAGAACAACCCTGTGAGATAGGTTCAGCTGAGACTCTGGGATTGGCCCGAAGTCACCCAGTGAGCTCCATGGCTAAGCGGGAACTAGAACCTAGATCACTTGTGTCCCAGGACCTTGCTCTTAATCACTATACCACACTCGTTTGTCCTACAGTCAGTCCAGGGAATTTGCAAACATCTCCAGCTCCATGCTTTGAATGCAGCAATTTTCTTCCTGTCTGCTTTCTGTACTGTCCAGCTTTTATAACAGTCTATAGCGATCAGGAATGCTATAGTGTGGATTATCATGGCCTTGGTCTCCAGAACAGACTTTAATTTTATGCAGATCTGCACTCTCTTTTTTCCTCTTTTGTAGTGATGCATTTCTTCTATTTTGGTGATATGTAATTAGCCACAAAATATATGGAAGGCAAATACACCCAAAGGACATGGCAAGTAATTCTAACCCTGGAAGCCAAAAAAGGGAAGGAATGCCCTCTGGCGTCTGTTTCTGGCAAGTACATCTACTACTCAGCGCCTATAAAGATGCCCGAGATTCCCTTTACTTACACTGGAGCTTTCCAGGACTGCGTCGGCGGCGGAGACAAGACATAAGCGCATGCGCAGATGATGAAGCTAGTCGTTACTGCGAGACAGATCATATGAGTTTAAAAGTTAGAGTAGCACAATAGTATAAACTTCCGGGACAAAACGTGAAAATTGCCATCGGCCGTTATCTCTAGAGTGATGACATTTAGCCTTCGACATGTTAAACGTATTAAGCACTTAATCTAAAACTGAGAATAGGTTACATTTAAGACAGGGAAGTTCTTGTCAATATAAGACTTGCAATGGCGTGCGACTCTATAGACATTTTCTAGCTCTATTGTTGGAACCACGGCTGACGGGAGGAAGCTGGGAAGACGCATAAATGTCTGTTGATGAGCCCACGTGCGACGAAGTGGCCAATCACTGCTTTTCTAGGCTTGGCGCGGCCCATGAAGCGGATTATTCCCTCCGGGTTCTAGTGGCGCCAGTTTTGGAATCTTCTTGGAAAGTGGTGTGTGGTTAGTCGGCAAAGGAGGTACGTGTGAAGGTATGTATGCATGAGGGTGTTGTTGTTAGTCGCGAAGTCGTGTCCGACCCATCGCGACCCCATGGACAACATTCCTCCAGGCCCTCCTGTCCTCCACCATCCCCCGGAGTCCACTCAAGCTCGCGCCGACTGCTTCAGTGACTCCATCCAGCCACCTCATCCTCTGCCATCCCCTTCTTCTTTTCCCATCAGTTGTTCCCAGCATCAGGGTCTTCTCCAGTGAGTCCTTCCTTCTCATTAGGTGGCCATAGTTTCATCTTCAGGATCTGGCCTTCTAAAGAGCAGTCAGGGTTGATCTCTAGGAATGCATGAGGGTAGGTTGAAGGAAAAGGAAAGCTGACCCGAGCTGTCCGATCTTCTCCAAGATTCCTAATCTGAGAATTGGGACCTGGCCTGGAGACTTCCGATTGCTCGAGGCTCAACCCTTCAGGCGGCAAGGGAGCCTTGGAGCATGTGCAGAGCGTGAATAGAATCTGCGTACTTTGGTTTATGGCGGTGGTTTGAAAGGAAGCGGGTCTGTCGAGAGTATACTGTGCAGCACGAAGTACTGCAGCGCTGGCTGACTGGTGGGCCATTTACCGTTCATTCAAATGCCCGCAACTGCAGTTTTAATGCGGAAGAGAGAATATGGAGGATTCTGTAGGGGCCGCTTGATTCCGGTACTTCACTGGCGCCTACTGGGTTCTGAGCAAGGATGTTTCCTTAGGGATATTTCCAGATTTACAACTGCATGTTGAACAGAGTGGATTGGTGCCTCAGTGCCACAGGTCTGTCTCCAGGTCTTGAAAGACAGTGTGTGCCCTTTGTTTATGAATTCTAGAAACATAGAAACAAGGCGAGTCAGAAGGGGCCTCCCAGGCTATCTAGTCTGACCCCGGCTCCAGCCGCCTCCACTCACAACATGCCCACCATGCGCATGTCCAGTCTATCTTTGAACACCCTCACCATGGTGAGGTTATCAAAGGGTGAAGGCTGCTCTTTATTTGTATTATTATTATTACACTTACATCTACCATGAGTGCCATTTTCTTGCTAGGAAATCCAGGTTTCATTGCTTTTTCTCCAGCAAATTCACTCACAGACAGGCTCATAGTAGGCTTTCTGTTGGTCTCCTGTTCCTGCACTGATCAGATACAGGCCTGTTTAACTTTAGCAAGGTTACCGCATTATATATCTTCAGATCATTTTCTGGAGATGGCCTGTGTAGCCTTCACTTGAATCTAATTGGTCTGTTTTTCCCCTCCTGCTTTTAAGCTCTTCAAGATGTGATTTACTTATCAGAAAGCTTAAACAACAGGCAAAGCCCAAATCCTACCACTTGCAGGCTTTTGCAGCTAGTGAGTGAGCTGCTGTGATGTCAGAGGACAAACATGCCAGCTGCTGAGCAGGGAAAGTTGCAGAGTGGTGCCTTTGCAGCAGCAGATCTGTTGGACAAAAAAGAGAAAAACCTCAGTCATGGTGGAAGATTATGTAGTGTTGTTTGGAAGGTTAACCATACATTGTGTGGAGAAAGCTGGTAAGGGGAAAACATAAGAGGCCTAGTCTTGGAGTAGGAAACAATATACTAGATGCAGCTGGCTGGGCCTTCTCACTAGCATGCTGCTCCTTCTCCACGCCAGCCCTGTTCTTTGCCCATGTTTGCTCTGCCAGCTCTTTGTGTTGGTGGAAATAGGCCTGGGAGGCAGGGCAGAGGGCCTAGATGTTGTGAGGCAGTGGTGGAGCTACCAGAGCCCACACAGGGCTAGGTGCACACAGGAAGGCATAAGCTGGTGGGCTGAGGAGTGGGGATTTTAAGACTTAGGCGTACATTTCATGTACTGATTCAAAGGAGCAAGTAAATCACAGGATACAGCCAGACTTAGGCTGTAGGTCATAAGTGGAGGCCAAGCTTCAGCAAAGCTGCTCAATCTCCTAATAAAATTTGTATATGTATGTTCAGTTCCCTATGGTTCTGGTCAGAGGTTGAGCACAGAGGTGGAGTTTGTAGCCATTGGTGCATTCAGCATCTTGGGGAAAAAACAAACAGGATCCCAAATTGAAGAAAAGTCCTATGACCAGCAAAATCTTCCAGTTTTGGATCGTGTTTTGTTGGGGCAGGGGTGTTGCATGTTTTCAGTGCTGGAAATCAGCAATGTTCCAGTCATGTAACATTTTTTTTTCATTTCACCTGCATGGCTTCCTTAAATGAGGGTTGCAGAATCTTAGGAAATCCAGGTCTTGGGTTCCCCAGATGGCCATGCCCCTTTAACTTGGCACCTCCTAAGGTGAAATGTCCCTCCTAAGGCTTAGTTCCTGGCAGTGAGAGCTTTAAACTACAATATAGAAGTATTTTGGCCCTTCCCATTTTGCCTTCAAGCTGTGCCCAAGCACTGGAATGTGGCCCCTGAGAACTTGTCTGAAATGGAGTTTGGCCTTGAACTGAAGGGATTTTGACATCTTTTTTAAATCAGTGATGAGTGTTTCCTGGAAAACTTTGAACTACGTTGGTCATATATTTGGTAAATTTTTGGTTTACATAAAGTTTTTGGATCATCTAGAGAAAGGTCTAATTTAGCATGTTTATTTGTATTTACTAAACAAAGAATGCTGTGTTAATTTGTGACTCAATATACCACGAGGATTGGAGATAATTTGGCGGGGGAAACTAAAGCACACTTAATATGATTTAAATGTTATATAATTTTTATAGAATAATAGTAAATCTTTAAAGACAATGGTGTTGCTTAAATTTTAGGGGTAGTTGAAAAACTAAGTTATTGAAAATTTTAGACGCACTAATGAATTTTAGCAACCAAAGGAACTCTGTGTGACATGCTGAGAACCAATAATCAATTTCATCAAAGTTCAGCTCCTTGCCATTGAGGTGGTTGGAGTGCCTTCAGTTTTGCAGTTCCTGTGGCTTGCTCCATTTCACACTGAGAGTCAGATGTATTTCAATGGCATATGTGGGAAATTCAATGGCTTTTATGTATTTCCTCATATTTGCTAGGAATTATCAGCTGTCAAGCATTAATTATACCTTCAGAATTGCCTGACTTGCTGAATTGGCACCCACTCATTGTTACTCATGAACTTCTGAAGTGGAAAACTTTTCATGGAAAAGTTGTAGAAACCACTTCAGAATATGTGCTTTCAACTAAGCCGGTTCTTGTTCAAACTGGACAGGAACTAAAAACAATTCCCACCAGTTTTTAAGTAGAATATTGCAAAGGAAAGAGATTTCATGAGTTGCTTTGCTTTTTACATGGCAGGTGTGCTTATCTACATGGCACTGGTGTTGCCAATAGTATAAAATCTGAAAGAAAGCCTGTGTGAGGCAGTCAACACGTGCTGTTTTCTGTTTTCACAAAAAAACAGGTGGTTCTTTGTTTGTTCCTGATGGGGACCAGCAAAAATGGGAAGGCAAATGATCACTGCCTGTCTGAGTAAGATATGGTGGATGGCAAGTCCAGACTCTACCTTTTCTGGTCCATGCAAGACGTTTACACATGGGGCAGCAGATGAGGCAGGAGTTTACTTTCCCTCTGTTGGCTGCTGGAGACTGGCTTACAAGGAATCCCCCCAGTGCTCAGGGTCTTTACCTTTCCTTTAGCTTGGCCTACTAAACCGGAATGGATGCTGTCAGTGAGCAAGTAAAAGATATGGAGAAGGTGAGCAAGGAGCTGCTTAAGTTGATGAGTGGAGGCAAGGCCATGAACATGCTGAAGCACATCCTGACCAAACAGGAACAGATGATTGACAAACTCCTGGAAACTCAAAAGACTACAAAACAGCTGATCCAAGGTACTCTCTGCCCTGTGCTGTCTGGAAACCTTGTGTGGTGTGGGGGCCCTTTGGCATGCTTGTCTCCAAAATGTGTGGTGCTAGTTGGGGCTGAAAGAATACTATAGTTTTGTGTGTTCCTAGGCTATTGCTGGAGTTTAAATGGCAGGCATTAACTTGTGCAGTGTTAGCACAGGATTTGGAGCCTTTAAAGAGAGGGCTAGGTGTGTGTGTGTGTACGGGCATGCAGGCACGTGCACACACATGCTCACTTATTAAGATACCTGCAAAAATTGTCTGAAGTTGCAGGAACTGATCCAAGATGTGCAATAGAATTGTGCTGCTTGAGCCTTGGAGAAGCCCCACAGAAGCAGCCTTTTACATTACTAAGAATAATGAAAATCTGTTGATTTAGGTGACCATGGGATGGGTGGTGGGCATGGAGGTGAAATTTGCCTTCAGGTGTAGCGTAGGGTAGGGCTGGGCATCATGATGCTTTCCAGATGTTTTGGACTATGGCTCCCATAAATCCTTCATCACTGACCATGCTGCCTGGGGCTTATGGAAGTTGCCCCCCAAATGTTTTGGACTAGATCAGGTTGCCTGCACCTGAAGTAAGATGAGGCAGAAATGTTCAGACTGAATCCGCGGGCATATCCTTGGCTGGCAGCTTCCTGGAGTGCTTTACCTCCTTGCCTGTGGTCTACTGAATCAAGCCTGCATTGACTGACTTGTGAGGTTTGGAAAAATGAATGGAACTTCCATGTTAGGATCTCAGCAAGTTAACACCAAGAGCTTCCCCCACACCTGAGCAGCATCTGTGCTGGGGGTGTTTTTTTCTGATTGAATATGTTGACTTAACTTCCTGGTAAGTCATTATTTATGATTTCCATGAGCCACCCAATTCCTTGAGTTTTCTATGCATGCCAGATAATTTGGGTTTGGGCCTGTGTCGTTTCATTTCTGGTGTGGCTTGGGAGATGCGATCAAGCCTGTCTTGCTGCAAAGTCAATGTGAAGGCTTATGGACCTGCAAGAGGGATGCTTTCCATTACCATTAAGCAGATCTAGGAAGGCTTCAGTTAAAAACCTTTATGGGGGTGTATAGGTATCAAGAACAATACAAAGGTAAAATTTCAAGCAAAAACATTCTCAAGAGCAGAAACATTAGCAAAGCAAAATCCACAAACACTTATCAGAAAAGAATCCGGCCATCCCAAAGTTTTGCTGGTGATAGGGCTGCCTTAGGCTGCAGTCTAAGGGCCAGCAGTGAAGAAGTGCATTGGACATTAGGGAGACTTTCACAACTTGGACACCACTACAAAGAAGGCTCTGTCCTGTGTCCCTGTTCCTTGTTTTTAGATGGCAAGGGCATGCGGAACAGGGCCCCTGCAGAAGGTGTAATGTGGCTGGGGAGGCTCATATGGGAACAGGTAGCCGTTTAAGGCAACTTGACCCAAGGCTGTTTATGGCAGGAACAAACAATCTGGCACCATCTGGCTATCTCAAAGGATAATTCTCATCGGCCTCAGCCAGCACATCCAGTCCTGTGAGATGATGGGAGTTCTGGTCCAAAGTGTCTGGGGGGTACCAGGTTGCCTACTCTTGCTTCCAGGCTTTAAAGTGCATGAACAGCACATCCAATGAAGTGTGGATTGCTGAGGTGATTTGTGGAGTCATGCAGATTGCTCTGGTGCGTGAAAACAAGGAGCTGGTGTCACTGCTAGCAGAGCAAGCGTGCCTGCCAGCTACATTTTAATTGGAGGCTCCTTTTTCGTCATTGCAGAGCTTATGACTGCTGAGGTAAAAGTGGCCCAGAAGCTGGCTGACCAGGAAGAAGAGCTGAACGCAAGCCTCCAAAAGTTGCAGAAAATAGAAGATGAATTGCTGCAGGCAAGTGAGAAGGATGACAAACAGAGGACCAGCACCAGATATCCTTCCACATCAGCCTCTGGGGCTGAATCATAGATGTTTTGTCCTTCCAAACATGACTCACCTTTTAGACCAAAAACCCCCGCAGAAGTTGGTGACTGCTTGGTAACCTTAGTTGTTATTGTTCTAAATGAACTTTCCTGCCCCGGTTAAGCAAGGTTTTTTCCCCTCTGTAAATAAAGACCTGCAGGGTGCATTCCAGCTGCATACTCTGGGTAGTTTATCATGAGTTATTCACAGAAAGTCACTCTTCTCAGAACAGTGAGTCTCATTAAGCAAGGGTAATACTGACCAGACCATGCCTCTTGCTTCCTTTCCCTCTGCTTCCTTGATGGCAGGGTGTCCAGTCCTCCAAAAGTTTTAGCCTATGGCTCTCAGCCCTAGTCAGCACAGTCAATAGTAAGGCATTATGGGAATTGTAGGCCAAAACATCTGGAGGGCTAAAAGTTGTGCATCTGGTAAGCTCTGTGATTTGCCAGAGCTCACCAGGACAGCATGTACTTGGAATGCTGACTGTTCCCTGTTCAGTCCATTGTACCTCCCGCTGCAAGTTCTTGGGTAGCAGAACTGGGAAAGATCTCGAGAACTTGAGCTTAGATGACCATTCTGGGCCTGGTGAAACACTATTTACACTGTGGCCCTGTTCTATATGAAGTGGCTCCTTATCTACACCAGCATTTACCCTTGCATGAACAAGCGAGTCAGGAGATTCTTTGCCAGAGAGGCTTGACACTCTGTCAGCTCACTTCTGCTGCTGGAGAGGCTACAGCTCAACCTAATTCTGGCCTTTCCTAGCCAGAACTCTCCACTGAAGTTTTTCCCTAGCTCAGCTGCCCATGCTGTGAAGTAAGGATCTTTCATTTCACTGCATGTGGCTCCATTTCTGGTCTACTCTTACAAGGGGATCAGAAGGTGTTTCAGATAGCCCTCGCTGGAAAATTCTCCAGTTACCTCAGATACTACTTCAGATAAAAATTGGGCTGGGATTGTAGAAGGGAATGTTACTGCTTTTGTCCACAATGAGCTATCGCCCTGCTAAAATAATTAGCAGCTGTCGGTTTCAGGTAGATTTGGGTGATTTGTAGGCCAAAGCACCTTAACAGCTACAAATCCCACCAGCTTTAACCAGCATAGCCACTGGTAAGGAATCACAGGAGTTGTACACCAAAATATCTGGAGGATTGAATGTTGCTAACCCGTGTTTTTGGAAAGCATTTGGAAAGAAAATTCCTTCACTTTTAAGATGTACTGAATTAAGGAAAGAGCTGGAGGCACTGAGAGAAGAAATCAAGCAGGAGAAGAGCATGGCTGAAGCAGCTGAAACATGCATGGCAGCTAAGTGAGTAAAGGCCTCCTCCTGCTTCTTTTATTTCCAGGTCAACTCATGGGGAACGGGTGGAGATGATAAGTTAGGCTTTTGCACGGGGTATCCTTAGTAGACACGGAGCTATTTGAGGTCTCTGCCACGCAAGCCAGCAACAAGGGCCTTTGCCTCACTGTCCATTGTTCCACAGGGTAATGAATGACATTCATGACTTAAGGTACAAGCTTGTTTCATTACAGGATTCCTTTGCTTGTATAGTGAGGGGACAGTGTTCTGTTGAGAGCTGCTGGATTGTTGCCATATTCCAGGTCTAGCTGGTTAGTGCATCGGGCAGCCAGTCCAGCTGAACAATGGTTTACGCTACTGGGAAACTGTGTCAGGGTCTTCTGTCCTGTTGTGCCCTCTGCCTGACCACAATGAAAATACCTTTGCTTAAAATCAGGGTACCTTGTGCCAAAAAATTAAGGGGCTTCATCCCAACTCAGAACTTGGCTTTGGCTGTCCTATTAGCTACCTGCCCTAAGCCTCTTGGCTTCTCAGTTCAAACATAAAGATGTCCACCTTTAATGAATGGCCAGTGGAGCCTTTCTGAATGTGTGATACGTGTGTTCCATTTATGTTATTTGGTCACCGTGGTGCGAAGAACTGACACCCATATGCTCCCTGCTTAGCAGTGTCTTTGAACAGGACAGTTAACTGAAGGCACAGGTGGTGCGCTTACTATAGGAGTAGGGAGCTTTCTGCTACCACTTTTCTTGTATCATTTCACGTAGCACAGAGGCTGAGAGATTGAGGTACAAACTGGGCAGTGCCCAGTTCACATTCACTTGCCGCAAATGGGTTGCATGGCCTCAGAGAAGCCCTCCTCCCCATCTGCAATAGGGGCAGTTGTACCACCTTCTCTTGCACATTCATTTCTCCCAACCTGATGCCCTCCAAATGATTTGGGCTGCAACTACTGGTATTCCCAGCCAGCATGTCCACTGGGAATTAAATGCCAACCAATCTGGAAGACGCTAGGCTGCGGGACTACTCTGTAAAGCTGTTTTCAGGCAAAGGAAAGCAGCCTGTAGGCTTAAACATTGGAGAGGCACAATTCTTGTGATCCTTCCCATTGACTATGCTGGTTTGGGCTGATGCGAATTGTAGGGTGCAGCATTTGGAAAGCTACAAGGTGCCCAACCCGCTTTGAAGAAACGTAACAAAATAATTCGGGTTAAACACCTTGAACCTTTGAAAGTGCTGTACAAATGTCAATTTTAGCTATGTGTGATCATGCAGAGAGGGGCTGGGGTGGGTGTGGAGGAACAGCATAAAAGTCTTCGGCACACTATGGCCTGAGGATCACCAGGAGGGGCTGTAGGGCCTGCAGTGGACACTGCATGCCAAAACCCCGAGATGCTGGTGCTGGAATCTCAGTGAAGATCTTGGAGCACCACTGGCCATCTGAGGAGGCAACTTCATCGGTTCCATTATGCCTTGCAGGTATCTTGTGCATCTTTATTACGCGATCTGCCACATTGACTGGGACTACTCCTGTGAACCAGAGGTGATCAAAGGAAGTATCCTTTATCTGCAGGCAATCGGGGGTGGGGTTCCCTTGCCAGGAAGGAAACAAGTGTTATTGCCTTAATCCTTTCCTGCGCTCAGCCCACTATGGGCCAGACATCGCTCAACCTATCTACCTCAGCACCGAGTTCTCCCGCTGCTTCATCAGTAACTACCTGTGGAGCCTGGTGAGTACCGACTGGTGAATGGAGTGGCCCGGGAGAAGCAGAAGCAAAGAGGCTACAGATACGGACATGGACCAAGGATGGACAATGTGCAGCAGTCCAGATGATGTGGGTCTTCAGCTCTCCAGAGCCCTAGTGAACACAACTGATAGTGAGGAATGATGGGAAGGGGCGCTCTGATAACAGCCTTTACGGCACATTTCTGCCATAAAAACGTCCTCAGCTGTTTCTTTCTGACGTATGGTTTTGACAAGAGCTGTGCGCTGGACAGCCCTGTTTCAATAAATAAGACTAGAGAAAACTAAAATTTAGTACTAATCACAAAAGGTGTTTAATTCATGTGTGAAGGGAAATTCGAAAACCGGTTCTTTTCACACCAGCATGCCTTCTGGGAGGCTGCAATGCTGGTTGGGAAGAAAGAAATGGTGCAAGTACCTCACTGGGGTAATAGACAAGCACCTTGGGCATGGTCTGCCTGAGCTCTTGCATTTGGGCTGATTTCTATTCACTTACCTGCAACTCATCAGTCACAGAGCAGCAGCCCAAAGACAACTTCCCCATCCCTGCTTTCTCCATTTACACCTTGACAAGTTTCCCATGAATGTATCAGTAAGAACAGGGAGAAGAAGAAAGAAGTTTGGATAAATTCTGAGTTGCGTGTGTTGTCAAAATATCTGTACAAAACCCATTTGAAAGGAGCAGGAACAGTCTATGTACAAAATACTCCTTCCCATTCGTGCATCGGAGACTCCATAATTAAACTATTCTTGAAGAGCCTTTCAAGAAGTATTAGTTTTCAGCAAACATCAAATGTGTTCCTTCAGTTTCTGTAGACACAGTTCTTCCTGCTTGACCTGAGCCAAGAGCAAGGCAGGGTTCATGTGGAGAGGCAAGAACAAATCAGCTGCAGCTAGCCCGGCAAAGCCGAGTCTACAAGCGGTTCTTCACCCTCATTACGGAAGGGCAAGTGGGGCAGGGAAATTCTACCCAGTGTTGGCACTTCGCCTTGATTGTGGCAGAACAGGTCTTGGCAGCAGGCAGGCCTTAATACTCAAACCTCTCCAATGGGTGGTCCTTCCTCCAGCGACACTCAGCCCCCCTCCTGCCTTCAACAGTGGCACTTCTGCTTATTGGCCTGTTTGCAGCATGGCTCCATGGTGATGGCCACCCCCACGCCACTGCGGCCGGATGTCATGTGGGTAACCTCTGTCCATGTATCAGTGGCGGGGTCATAACACTCAACACTGTCCAGGAAAGTGTCGCCATCATAGCCACCTGCAGGGGGGAAGACTCAACAGTTAGCACAGTGTGGGGCTGAGACCTTGTTATGGAGACAGCGACTCTACGGCTACAGGGAAGTTCGCAAGCTATGCCAATTTGCCTAATTACCCTGGCTGGCCTGACTTCGTGGGTCAGCCGTACTTTGGCAGCAGGGCTTCTTTGAGGGCGGCTGTTTGTGGGGGTTTTGGAGAGCTGTTCCCTGCCCACCCCCAGCAAACGCAGCTGCCCAGGGTTTGGACTGCAACAGCAGCAGGGGGAGTTAGGGAAATCCACTGGAATGTGCAGCAGGGAGCTGTGCCATGTGGGGGAGCTCGTCACTCACAGTGGCAGTCAGGCTGCTCTTGAGGGAAAGGGCACGGCAGGCCAGCCATGTGAAACTGGAGCAACCAGGAAAATAAGCAACGTACGAGCCTGGCTGGCGCAGACCACAGCCTGACCTGTTTCTTGCAGTGGCGAACCAGATGCCCCAGTGGGGCCCACAAGCAAACAGCACCTTCCTGCTTGTGTTTTCCAGCAATGGCTTTGACAGACATATTGCCTCTGTTGCCAGAGCTAATATAAAGCCACTGTTAACCTCCTCCTCCTGGCAGGTTCCTGAAGTTATTTCCAGCAAGTCAACCAGGTGAAAAATCCCTGCCTTTTGCCAGCATGGCTCATCCTTAGTCGGAAAGGTAGCGACTTGACGTGCTCACTTCTGCTGTGCAGGCCAAGCTTGGATGATCTTAGGGCACTTTACAGAATGATTTAACAGAACAAATGGGTCTCTGATCCTGGGAATTTGCATTCTAAATTCAGAGATACAAATGACAAGACAGGAATAAAGGCAGATACAGTTAAACGTATCTTCCGCAGGAAGATAAAGCCTTCATGAAAATATGGAGCTGAAGGATAAGAGCTCAGGGACACTTTGTGAATCAGGTTTCCCCAAACCTGGCACCCTCCAAATGTTTGGACTTGGCCAATAATGAGGAATGCTGGGAGCTGGAGGGCAGCAGGTTTATCCTGCCTAAGGTCCCCTTGCCATGGTGTGCTCCAGATGTTTTCTTGTTTGTGACCTGGGGGTTGGTCATAGATTCTGCAGGCTACGGAGGCAGAGGGCAAGAGGGCCAAACCCTAGCTGCTCAGCATGTCGGTCCTGTCGTGCAGCAAGGGCATCTGGGATACAAGGAGGGAGCAGGTGGAGGAGGAGGAGAACAACACACCAAGGGACTGATAAAATAAACTGCAATTTGTTCAAGTAGTTGCCAGAGAAACCCTGGACAGGGCAACAAACCTAGCGCCAATGTTATACAACAACCAGCCTATCCGGTTGATTGCTGCTGCAATCATTCCAGTCGATCAATCTCAACAAAGTCACGCCAAGCAAAACTTGGTTAATGGAAAATTGCAGCATTGCTTCCATGCTTTTGCAAGGGGAACTAAAACCACTCCGTGCTGGACACACAGCGTACAAGGGCCTTTGCGCAGGGCCACCTGCCTTGCAGCATGGAAGCACTTGCCATCTGCCCTTCCCCAGCTTACCCAGTACGTAGATCTTGCCCTGGTGCACGGTGACCCCCAGGGCACTCCGCCGGTGCTTCATAGGTGCCACAAAGGACCAGGTGCCTGTCTCGACATCGTAGCGCTCCATGCTGTTGAGCTGGTTGGTGCCATCGTAGCCCCCCATGGCATAGATGCAGTTATTCAGGGCACAGACCCCTGCAGGGGAACACCACTGTGTCAAGGCAGACATGCCTGAGCTCCGTCACCACTCCTGGCACACTATTCTGAGGCAACCTCACAGAGCGTTGACAGAGCAGGGAGGAACCCCTGGCCCTCCAGATGCTGTGGGACTCCCACTTCCCTCACCCCTCCCCCACTGGCTTGGGCTGATGAGAGTTGGAATCCAACTTCAAGTGGGTCACAGGTTCCACACCAGAGCTTCAACCACCTTCCTGTCCGGGCCACTTTTCTGATCTGGGCACTGTTGCTTTTGGTGGCAGTAAGAGGGCAGAGAAGGGGTGAGCCTGAGTTGGGAGAAGCTGCCTTTCTACTGCGCAGTCCCCCATGGCAGGAAAGCCGGCAAAACAAGCGGCACTTCTCGGTTCTGTAGCCGGGCTTCGGCCCCCAGTCGACCGGCTTCTGATAAATCCACAACTCTGGCTCAGTACCAGAGCAGCAGAGAGCCAGGAAGGTGGGAAGGCCAGTGTGGCGTAGTGGTTAAGAGCATGGGACTGGGACTCAGGTGATCTGGGTTCTAGTCCCCGCTCAGCCATGGAGCCAACTGGGTGACTTTGGGCCAGTCACAGACTCTCAGCCCAACCTACCTCACAGGGCTGTTGTGGGGATAAGATGGAGGAGGAGATGTAAGCTGCCTTGAGCCCTTTGCAGGAAAAAGGCAGGATATCAATCGGAAAATAAATTTAAAAAATTAAAAGGCAGGCTCCCTGAGGCAGGGAGGCCTGGAGGTTGCCTTGCCAAGGGCCTGCAGTGGGTTTGGCATTGTACCCAAGGCATTTTCCTCACCATGGCCAGGAGCTGGCCTCCCTAGCTCCCATTCTGGCAACAAGCAGACCTGTGGGTCTGAAGAGCCCAAATAGAGCCCCCTGACTCAGGCAGCGGGGAGGAGAGGGCCACTAGGTGACCCTGATCCCTGCACAGCCAGCAGGGAAGGTGCGCCCTTCCTGGCAGAACCCACTGGCTGCCACCTCACTCACCAGCTCCACTCCGGACAGTCCTCATCGGGGCAATCATCTCCCACTCGTTCCGCTCGGGGTGGTAGCACTCCACGGAGCTGTGGCGGCAGGTGCCATCGTAGCCCCCCACAGCGTACAGGAGCCGGTTCAGCACAGCGACGCCAACCCCGATCCGCCGGGTGAGCATGGGTGCCACAAGCTGCCATTCATCACACTCCGGCTCATACCTGGAAGAAGAGGAGCAGCCACCTCAGGGCAAGTCTGCTAAGTGAGCCCAGGAAGGCGTCAGCCGTGGGCAGGGCAGGGCCAGCTCTGGGCTCTCCCTGCAGAGGCAAGAGGGGTGAGCGGGAGCAGGGGCTGCAGGGGCCAACTCTGCTGGTGGTTCACTCCGGGGCCTGGGGAGAGACCCAGGGCTGCCATTCCCCGAGTCCTTCCCTTTAGTCAGGGGTGAGCTATTGCAGGAGGACGGGGGCCACATTCACACCCCAGACACAGCACCCCTGTTGGCCCATGCTACAGACCACTGTGCAAGTCCATGGGGTGACCCTCCACCGTAAGGAGAAAAAAAAAAAAAAAAAGAGGCGGCTTGCCACCTAAATGTGGTGACAAACTACTCTGCAACATTGCATCACCATGTGCAAGGGTTCAATGTAGCTTGCTTGAGAGCTCAGATTAACGCTTCCGGCATGCCAAATGGACGCCACCTTTTTTGTGAAACAAAAGCACGTTTGGAGGGACAGCGGGGACACAGTGGAGCTCGACAGAAGTAGCTGCTGACCCGAAGGTTACAACAGACTTGCTCAGCTTGACCAGCAGTGACCAACTCTCAGCCAGGCTCCAGCAGTGAAGGTCAAATCAGCTGCTTCTTTCACAGCTTCTTCTTTTTTTTAAATCAGCAGCTCCTAAATCAATCTGCTTACTGCTTCTCCCCTTTCTAACTTATAAGTACTTGTACCTTCTTGAGAGCGTTTCAGTGGGTGCTTCTAGAAGGTGGGCTCCTAGGACTGGCCAGGAGAAGGGCTTGTGTGGCTATTTCATCTTTTCCTTCTCAACCACAGGAAGAAGAAAGATGGAAGCAGCCAGTGGAAAAAATGGGAGGGCTCCAAGTTGTAAATAATGTCTGACACCCCTTCCCCGCTAAAATAAGACAAGGCAATGACAAGGAACGCCTTGTCTGGAACACCCCAGCAATTCTCATTGCTTTTGCAAATAAGTTATCTTCAGTCACCCACTTCTGCCTACACACACCAGTGGCACAGTTGACAGTTGTCACTCGGTCCTTGTGCACGGTCCAGAACTGTGTCAGGAAACCTAAGCGGTTTTCCAGCTGAGGAATAACATTTGCCCCCAGTGCCCAGTCCGCCCCCTCACCTCTCCACACTGTTATGATGGGTACTCCCAAAAGAGCCGCCCACTGCGTAGATCATGCCGTCAATCACACCCACACCAATCCGGTTACGGGGGACGCTCATAGGAGTGCAGGGAGACCACCGGTTGGTCATGGGATTATAGCAGTCAATGGCGTCAGAGTCCATGTTGCCGTCGGAGGAGTTGTTCCTCCCACCCACAGCATAGAAAAGGCCGCTCACCACGCAGCTGGCCAGGCCGCTGCGGGGCACCTGCAGGTCTGCCAGCCGGATCCAGGAGCCGTCAGAAGGGTTGTAGGCTTCCAGGTAGCTGAGCGAGTGGCGGTAGTAGCCACCCGCCGTGTAGATGAGCTGCCCCACTTTGGGTGTGCGGCAGGACACGTCCTTTGTTGGCTTGTGCAGGGTCAGGTCCTGGAAGATCTTGGCCAGGTAGTCCTTGCAGCGAGAGTCCGACTGGAGGATCTCACACTTCTGCAGCTGCATCTGCAGGAAGCGCGGAGTGAGCGAGTGGCAGCGCACAGCCCTGAGCAGGGCCTGGATGTAGAGCCGCCGGTTCTCGCAGTCGTACTTCACCCAGTTGATGCAGGCATGGAAGACCTCGGACTCGCAGCGCACGTTCAGCTCGTCCCGGCTGATCAGCGTCACCAGCTGGCAGTGCGAGAGGTTGAAGAACTCCTCCTGCTTCGACACCTGCAAAGCAGCAGGCAAAGCATCAGCGTGCGTGGACCCTCGTGAGCGGAGGAACCTGCTCCCACCAGGACTGAGACTTCTGCTGGTGGCAGCAAGCAGGTGTGCCAGGGGCCCTTCCCAGAGACCGACGTGCCCCTCCCACGGCTGCGTCACTGGCCCTCCCTACTAAAGCATCCCCCCGAGCCCAAAGCCCAGCTCCACACTTAGTGCACCACAATATGCCAGCTCTATGCAGCTGTTCTGGCGCCTCACAGGGCCTGCAACATGTGTGAGTTGCCAATTCTGAATCCGGTGAGCCGGCTACCAAAAAGTCTCCAGTTTTACACACAGTTCCTGAAACCCAACTGGAAATGCAGACGAGAAGCAGCACTGGCCAAACTCTCCCTTTACATTGATGTTGAAGTCTAACTGCAGCGGACCCAGGGCCCCTACGAGCAACGGGACTCTGTTTAGTCTCCCCATCGCTGCTCACAGGACAGTTTGCTTTGGACATTCAGTCAACATGATGCCAGGCTGATGTCCTGTCTCTTGGTTTGCAGCCTGAGGGCAGTCTCAGCCCATGGCATGTTTCTAATTTTTGGGAGCCAGCATGTAAATAAAGTCCCATGGATCCTAGTCCCACATTATTATAAATCCTTCCAGCTGTATTTTCTTCCTTTTCCTTTCCCTGAATCTGTCCATGTGTGTCCTCATGGCCCACCGCTGCCACCAGCACCTGAGCTTCCCTGGTTGCTTGGCTCTCCAATCCGCTGCGCCACCATTTCTATAGCACCAACCACTCCTCCTGATTTGATCAATGCCAATCTCCCCAGCCTTCATCTTTTCTGTTTCTTTGCTTGCCAGGCCTATTCAGACTAGTACACTGACCCATGTAGTAGTGGGGAGCAGCATCCTGGGAAGCGGGCGAGCTGTTGGAGGCGGCAACAAGCCATCCATGCCTCCTCTGCCTGCCTGCCTCGCATTTTTTAGAACCCTGCTTCTGACTCTTGAGATGGCTGCTCTTATGATTAGAAGGAGAAAAGTAAACTGTTTTTCAATCTAGTAACATTCGAGGGCTTAGCAACAATGCTGCTCCACTGCCTTTCTAAGCCAACACCTCTCAGGATCAGCATCCTTGAAATGTATCACATTTTAGAAGAAAATAGAGGCAGATATCTGGTCAAGAATGTAGGTCATGTGGACAGCACGGACATGAGGCCATGGCGACAGCTTCTCAACCAGTTGTGTCACATCTACACTGAAGAAAAGGTTTATATATATGCACCTGGCTTTGGGAAAGGATAATGATGTTCAAGCCTTGTAAGGCACCTCTATACTTTCCTTCACTTTCTATTCCACTCTTTTTAGTAAATGGGGTCGTTTGCCACTCATTTGCTATACACCAGGCAAGAACGTGTCCAGTTCTGGATTTGCACTCATGCCTAGAAGGCAGGCAGGTTGCAATGCTGGCCACAGAACACAGGCTGCTTCCCGAAGTCTCTGCCAGTTTTCTAAGCAAAATGTAAACACATTTCCAGCCCCTTTGGTGCAGAGACAGAATATGGCATTGTGTGCGCACTGCGTGATGAACAAGAAGCCATCCAAGTGGCTGGATAAGTTTCCTTGCAGTTAGGTAGAAAGTGAGGCTTCTGTGTGACATCACATTATGAATACTCTGAACAATGCGGGGTATCAAAAAGTGAATACTGCAGAGGAGGGAATGATGCCAGGAAGAGCAACCAGAATGTTCAAGAGGCTCAAGCAGCCCCCTCCCCCCGAGAAAGAGTGTAACATCTGGGACTGGTTAGCTTTTGACAGAAGGCATGTAAGAGGAGACATGAGAGATGTGTACAAAATTATGCCTGATGTAGAGCAGCCTTCCCCAACCTTGTGCCTTCCAGACATGTTTAGACTGCAACACCCAGAATTCCCATGTCAAAGGCCCTGCTGGATGGGAATTCTGAGAACTGCAGTCCAAATGCCTCTGATGACCAGGCTGGGGAAGTCTGGCAGAGCAAATAGGTCTCTCATAATACCAGAAGCTAAGACCATCCCACCAAAATGACTGGTGGCAGATTCAGGAGAGGTTCCGTGGTCACCATGCCCTGGTGCCATTGGAATCCCGCTTCCCACATGGTACTCCTGCCATGCGCACCGCTCCCCCCATCCCTCACGGGCAGAAACTCACCTCCCCGAAGTGCATGTAGATGTACTCGCGCGCCCGCTGGTGCAGCTCTGTGCAGCTGATCTGCTCGGCAAAGTTGGCGATGCCGATGGCGTTGCTGGGGTCCAGCTGCTGCACGAGGAAGTCACAGCAGGCCTGGACCACGCTGTCGATCTGGTACATGACGGCCCCATTCATGACGTGCAGCACGCACTGCTCGCCCACCGAGATGGAGGCAGTGTAGGCAAACTCAATGAGGCGCTCCATGACTTTGGGGTGAATGCCCTCAATGGGGACGACCTCCATGCCCTGCTCCCGGAGACCCATGGTGAACATGGCCTTGAAGACAGGGCTGGAGGAGGCCAACACCACCTTGTGGGCCTGGAAGTCGGCCGGCGAAAGGTCCTTGTACTTGACCCGCAAGGTGACGTCGCAGAGCTGCTGGCTCAGGCGCAGCTGGTTCATGACGCTGAAGGCTTGCTTGGTGTGGTCCTCCAGGGTGTAGCTGAAGGTGCGGCTGCCATCATGTGAGGGGGTCACCTCCGCCTTGCACTCTGGAGAGTACATCACAGAAGCAGCCACGGACTCATCGCATGAAGGAACAGAGGAAAAATCCCGGACTGTCACAGAGGCTGGGCTGGGGGCCTGGCTACAGAGCCCCAGCGGGTAGCAAAGTCTCCATACCTGCACAGGGGACACAGAAGCGAGAGGCCTGGTTTGGTGCAAAGCCGGGCGACACTGCTCACCTGCAGGGCTTTAGCTGGGCCTCCTTTCCTGCCTCGGCCTTTTGTGAGCAGAGGGCACAAACCTTTCTGCACTGCTACAGCCTTCGCCAACTTGGCACCCTCCAGGGGTTTCAGGCAACAGCTCCCAGCATTCCCAGCCACTGGCCATGCTGCATTCCAGCTGGAGTCCAAAACATCTGGAAGGCATCCAGCTGGGGAAGGTAGTAAGCTACTTGTTCTCCCTTTCCAGCCCTTTCCACACTTGCAAAAGTTGTTACTATCGTAATTGCACTGCATTCGTAGTCCATACTTTGCCTTTGGCTTATGAGAGCAAGGAGCAATAGGAAGAAGACAGTTGGGGAGCATCTGTGCTGGACTCTTGGGCCGGGGTTAGAAGCCACATGCTGTGCCCACACATGTCAAAGGGTAAGGCCTGTTGAGGACTTGTGGGATTTGCCTTGCTCAGGAGCAGAGGCTCTCGACCCAAGCCTCTTGGGGTTCAAAACAAAGCAAGGAATTTGCATTCTCAGGTATAAAGTGAACCAGGTTGGTTGAGGATAAAACCCTTGATTGAAGGATATAGAAAAGTTTTAACAAGGTATTGCTACAGGGATAGCGCTCAGAGGTCTTTTCTTCTTTGTTCTCCTATTGACAGAGAGGCAACATGTACGCCAAGAGATGAGTAACTAATGCGTGACTTCCCTGGATTAGCAAGCAATTGACCGTTTCCCTCCTCTTAGGTCACCTGTGTTACAGAAGCCACCCAAGGAAGCTGACACGCAGCATGACTCAGCAAGTTAGTTAACAATTCAGTCCCAATTCAGAGATGCTATTTGGAGGCGTCTTTTCTGCCTCCAGTTTTGCTCAGTCACCCCAGACCTACAGAGCCTTGGATTGTTCTGTTTTGCTTTGCCTTTGGCCATTACATTATAAGCACCACAGCACTATGACAGAAATCCAGATCCACACTCCTCAGGGAAGACCTATGGTTCAACTCCTTATCAATACTGATGCTATCAAAGAGGCTACAAGAATCCTGCAAACTAGCCAGCCTCTGTGATTAAACAGCCTGGTCTGCCAGCATGGTTGGGGCTTGGACACCACACAAGAATAAAGAGCCTCACCCCAGGCAACCTGCACTCTGAGCAACAGCTGCAATCCCCCATCCTGACACCAGATCCAAACTGTGTCATCATCATGACCGCCCGGCATGTGTCTATAGCACTTCTGAATTCAAAGTGCCATATTTTTCCATGTTTGATCAACCAGCCCAGCAGCACAGCAGTTTAAACCACTGCACCTCCTGCAT